CACACACACACACACACACACACACACACGGCCTCTGTGCTGGCCCTGGGGTGTCTTGGGACGGGCGGAGTCTTGCTGGAGGAGGTGGCCACCTTGGGCCTCTGGCCGGGAGTGTGTGCGAGAGAGGAAGGCAGCTCACAGGCTACCTGGGCCTCAGCGGCGGGGTCTGGGGCAGGAGACAGGCAGCCACCGGGCGGATCTGGGGGTTCCGGAGAGGCATGGGGCGGAGGCCTTGGCGTGGACGTTCTCCCAGAAGGCCTTTCTCCAGGGCTGCTGGGGCCCCTTTCCCGTCTGTGGAGAAATACTGCAAGAATAAACTTCAGGGTGGGGGCTGGAGCTGGTGGGAAGTGGGGGTTGAAGGCAGGGCCCCCCTAATGCTTCTCAGCTTGGCTGACTTTCAGGGCACTGACGACACTGTTGATGTTCTCTTCCGGGACCTGCAGGGGCAGGGAGTGGACACGAGTGAGGCCAGGGGGCCTGACCACCCCCCGACTCCGTACCCCCCACCCAGAGCTCGACTCTCACCAGGGCGTGGTCGAACTTGAAGGTGCTGATATAGTACGCAGGGATGTCTGCTGCAGCCAGGGGCTCGGAGATCTGGGCCACGATGCCACACTCGTCTGGGGACAGAGGTGGGTGTGGGCTCATTCCCCAGAGGGCCCCGACTCTGGGGCACCCCCTTCCGGCTACAGCCGGCAGCTTCCCAGACTCCCCAGGAAGGCCTTGGCTCAGGGGCCTCCTCTAGTTACTGGCCCGTCAGTTCTCACACACAGAACCCGGGCCCGGGCCGGGCCCCCTGCAATTGACCAGGAGAGGAACCCTGGCCTGGCAATCTTCCCTGCACTGGGCGTGGGCTACCAGGGGTGGCACGACTCCACGGCCGCTCAGCCCCCTCCCTCCCTCCTCTTTGGCTGATGGGCGGTCACCCTGTCCTCGGTTTCCCCACCTGTAGCCACAGAGCAGCTCCCGGAAAGGGGCTACTGTGGGGGGGCCAGTGATCAGTGGCGAGGAGGCTCACCGAATCCCAGGGGCTGGCCTCCGATGCGCACCATCTTCCAGAGCTCTCCAGACGCGCTTGTGAACAGCAGGTTACTGGGAAACCTGGGAAGGCGGGCAGAGAAGGCCAGCGCTCACCACTCTCGTCCCCCGACCCCAGGCCAGGGAGCACGTGCCCTGCTGAGCAAGCTAGGCCTGGGGTCAAACCCTTGCTAGCCTCCAGGGGTGAGGGGTGAGGTAGGTGTGTGTGTGTGTGTGTGTGTGTGTGTGTGTGTGTCGCTCACCTCTGCTGGGTCTGCACGTCCATCACCAGGGAGATGTAGCCCTCGATGAGGGAGAAGGAGAAGAAGCGGATGTGGCCACCGTCGTCACTGGCCGCCATGGCGTCCTTCACTCTGGGGAAAGAGGACTTGGTAAGGGGAGGGGGGCCAGGGCTGCATGAACCCCCACCCAAAACCAGCCCGGCTGGGTGACCCCAGGGCCCGTGTCTCATCAGTGAGGTGGGGGGCAGGCACGCGGGCCTGCCCACATCTCAGGGCCTCTGGTGCGGTCACTGCCGGCACCCTCCCACCTGGCACTGACATGCCGGAACACAATGGGCTGAGAAGGTATGGGACTTGTCGTCACCAGAGAGCACCGGAGTCCGGCTCTGAGCACCGTGCTCGGGGACGGGCGGCTGTCTGCTGCATCATGTGGTGTAGGGCCCCTGACTTCTATCTGGGGTCCCCAGCATGGTATCTCCCCTTACAGGGACAAGGATGCCTCTCCCCGTCACACTAGCTCTGGGGGTGGGGTGGGGTCTTCCCCCTGGCACACCCCCCCCCGCCCGGGGGTGGGGCGGACCTCCCTGTGGCCCACCATGCAGGCCCAGGCCCCTCCCTGGCACCCTACCCGCTGGAGTAGAACATGACGTCCATGAGGAGCGTGGCCACAGTGGGCAGGGTGTCGGGGTCCAGGCTGGTGACACAGAACCTGTTGCTGGGGCTGGACAGCGGGTGGATGACCGGTCTCTGGACTGCGGGAGTGCAAGGACAACGGGTAGCTGAGGAGCAGGTTGGGGTGGTGTGGCCCCCAGGAAGGAGGGCTGGTGTGAGCCGGGCAGCTGCTCTGGGGAGGCCCACGCTGAGCCGCCGCCTGAATGGGCACCACCTGCCCCTGGTCCAGGTCCTCACAGTGCTCCAGCCCCACAGCCGCCTCGACGTCCCCAGGAAGGCCTTGGCAGGGTGGCCTCACACCCCGAGACCAGGGCCGGTCCAGGCACAAACACCTACTCACCCATCTTGGGCTTCACGAAGCCGTTGGTGATGGCCAGGTTGTCAGCTGCCACCGGCTCCCCGTTGACGACTCGCAGGATGGTGAACTCCGACGACAAGGTGTGGGTGACGAAGGGCAGGTCCCGTTCACGCACCTGGGGAGGGGACATGGAGGACACGAGGGCCCCTGGATGGGTGGGTGGGCCCAGGGGCACCGACCCTGCACTCTGAGATCCTGCTCTCAGAACTGCCTGTTCCCACTGCCCTTGGCTTCCTGGTGGTGGGTGATGTTGGGAGTGACTGGGCGGTATGGACAGTGAGGGGGGGAGACACCGCACCAAGGCCAAGAGATGTCGGTGCAGGCACCTCGTGTCCAGATCAAGGGCACGCCGCCCTCTGTGCCCACAGCGCAAACTGACCTAAGGCCCAGGTCAACGGGCAGACAGAACCGTGGGAGCCCAGTCAGGACCACGTCGACCCAACTGTACTGCAGTGTATCCGCCCTCCAGCTTGAAGCAGTGAGCGGGTACCAGCAGCCAGGAGAAGCTAGGAGAGTGGGTGCGTGTGTCAGGAGGTAGGTGAGCCCATGCGTGGGAGGGAGGGCAGGAGGGGGCAGTCAGTGCGGAAACATCAGTGTGTGAGGGGGCTGTGAAGGGGGTTTAACACGTGTGGTGTACACGAGAGCGCATGTACAAGGGAGTGTGTGGAAGGTGAGGGCCTGTGTGTGCATGAGGAGTGCCCGTGCTGGTGGGTGAGGTGAGAGCACGCGTGCAGATGCAGGTGAGTGTGTGCAGAAGGGCGTGTGTGTGTGTGTGTGTGTGTGTGTGTGTGTGTGTGAGAATGAACACGCCCAGCCTGCTAGGAGGAGGAGGAGGAGGAGGAGTGTGAGGGAGGGAATGTGCACAGGGGTTCTGTACTGACCAGTACCAGCAGGAGGAGGAGGAGTGTGGGGCATGAGGGAGGGAATGCGAGCAGGCGCCAGGGCAATGCCGGAGGCTGGTCCGTGCGTCCGGAGTGCACTTACCAGGATGAAGTCGGTCTGGTAGGTGGAGAGCATGAACACAGAGATGTTCTGGTCGGCCAGCGGGGCGATGACGGACTTGGCGATCTTGGTCACCCCGATGGGCTGGGAGCTGGAGAAGCTGCCGCCACCAGACACCACGTTCAAGGCCAGCCAGGTGGCGTCCGCCACACTCAGGTGCTCCGAGGAGGGCAGCTCTGGGGGGACAGAGCATCCATGAGTGCTGGGGCGGGGACAGGGATGCACCCTGACCGATCCACACTCTGCATGGGTCTGCCTCCAAGCTGCCCTCCTCGGGTAACTTGGGATGTGCCGGGCAGCGTGTGTTTGGTCCGGCTGCCCGCTATTCAAGGGCAGGCCCTCGCAGGCTGAAGTGGTCAGTAAGGGCTTCCCCTGCCAACTTCCGTCCTCACAAGCCTTGTGTTGACGTCACATGCCATTGCCACAACCATGGTTCTGCGTGGAAGCGGTTCCTGGGCCCTGGGCGGGCAGAGAGGGAGGGGAGGCAGGGGGACCGTGAGGCCTGGGCAGGTGCTGCTTCGCTATATCTAGGGATGGAACTGAAGGGGGGCCTGTCCAAGCAGGAGCTCTCCAGCCTTCTGGAGGAAATCCGGGCGGGCTGTGCGGCATCACCGTGTGTGACGAGGGCTGGGCTCGCCTGCCCCTCACCGCTCCGTCACCCTGTGGCTCCCTGGGAAGAGCCGCAGCAGAAGCAGCCTTGTCCGAGGACCTGCGGTGACCACGGACGTGTCTCTGCCTGCCCCACAGTCGCTGCCTCCACCACCAGGGGCTTCCAGCACTTGGGAGGTGCCCGGCACAGCTGAAGAGCCAACTGTCAGATTTTAGTCCAACAAAGTCATCTCCTAGAGAGTGGAAGTTTACAACAGCCTCCAGAAACACGCAGCGGAGCTCACTGCCTCCGAGTGGATTCCGACCCACCTCAGAGGAGAATGGCTCCAGACGGTTCCCTAGAAAATTCTGGAGGGGAGGGGGGACAGCCTCCTCTTCCTCCTGCGGAGCAGCTGGTGGGCGTGAAGCATTGACCGCGTGCTTAGCAGCCCAATGCTTAGCCTGCAGTGCCATCAGGGCCCCTTGGTAAAACGCATGAAACAATCCGTTTCAGCCATTTTTATGTGGACGGCTCAGTGACTTGGAGACAACCAACACCCAATTCCAAGGGTCTCGCCGCCCTCCAAACCCACACGCTTCAGGTGTTGAAAGGCAGGGAGGTCCCTTCGAGGGCGGAGGGGCCTGAGCTGAGCCTGGGTCTTTCCAATCTCCTCCTAGGCCCGGCGAAGCCGGACACTGCATACGGAAGACTGAAGAACGGATGCGTGGGAATTGTGGTGCTGGCCCTACACGGGACAGTACTAAAGCACTGACCGCTGGAAGGGCAAACATCTGCTCAGAAGAAGTACAGCCAGCACGCTCCTCAGACGCAGGGGTGGCAAGATACTCTCTTTGGGCGTGTTGTCAGGAGAGACCAGCACCCGGAAGAGGGCATCACGCGTGGTCAAGTGGAGGGGCAGCACACGAGAGGATGGCCCTCGACAAGGTGGACCGACACCGTGGCTGCGACCGGGGCTCCCCCCTAAGAGGGTGGGGATGGGGCAGGCCCGGGCTGCACTTGGTCGTTCTGAATGAGAACCGACTCGACAGCTCCTGACGAGAGACTGAAACTCAGGAGCCCTGGTGACTGCTGACCACAAGGTCGGCGTTTCAAACCCACTAGCTGCTCTGAGGGAGCGAGATGAGGCTTCCTGCTCAGAAACCCTGTGCAGGGCTCCTTGGGGGTGGGATGGATCTGTTGGCATTGGGTAAACAAAAACTCAGTCCCCTTAAGTAATAACTCCCCATTTCACTCTCCCCACCCCGGGACCCCCATTCCAGGAGCCTCACCCTTAGCAATGGAAACACACCTCTTATCCAAAATCCTCAGTGGGGAGGCAGCAAAAATCAGACTTTAAGAACGGCTTTGTGGTTACGACCTGGTGGTGCAGTGGCTTATGCGCTGGGCTGCTAACGGCCAAGGTCTCCCTAGGTGCTCTGCGGGAGAAAGATGAGGCTCTCTACTTCCGGGAAAGCCCTGTCCTACAGGGTCACTCTGAGTTGGTAACGACTTGATGGCAGGGAGGTTTTCCCCAACACACAGGTTGGAATTCTAATCCCAAACCTGTGGCGTGCTCCTGAGAAGCGAGGGGGGCCCGACTTCGACTCACACACTTGGGACAGTCCCTGGAGAAGGGCACCACGCTCGGTAAGGCGAGCGAGGGCCAGCGAAAATGAGGAAGACTCTCCGCGAGATGGACGGACAACGCGGTGGCTCCCACGGAAGAACAGCTAGGAGGAGGCCCAGTGCTTCGCGGTCGTGCACAAGGCCGCTGTGAGCCGGAACCTCCCAACCACAGACCCGTGCATGTGACCCTGTCTGGAAGTGGGGAGACTGCCATGACCCCCAGGAGCCCCACACGATGCCGCTGCTCTTGTGGTGAGGGGTGGGTGCACACCTCCGGAGCCTGGAGGTCTTGCCTTGGAATAAGCCTGTGGGAGCCCAGCCAGGAGGCAGCAAGCCTGCCCTGCCCCAGAGGGACAGCAGCCCCAGGCCAAGGCCGGGGGCGATTATTTCCGTCATGGCCCAGAGCCCCAGGCCCTAAAAATAGCCTCTCAGCGCTCAGGCCTCTGCCTGGTCGGGGAAGCCACAGGGGCTCGCGGGCCCTGCTGCCCAGCCTGGGTGCTTACCCTCTCCTCGGGGTCCGCGATGCACCTCCCCAAGGAACTGCCCACTCTGGCAATAGGACCCCTGGCCTCTCTGTCACCGGCCATGTGGTTCCATGTCAGTGCTTCTCAACGCCTATGTTGTCACCGGGGCAGGCCTGCAGTCAGTGGCCCTGGCTCCCCCGGGGCGTGACCTTGGGCACAGTCTCGGTCCCTCGGTTCCCTGGTTCTGCGTGTCAGAGGTTTCTGCGCTCCGGATCTACAGCAAGTGCTTCTTCCCCTGAGCCTGGTCTTTCTGAGGGTCAGCCCCCACCCCTAACCCCCACCAAGTCGATGCCGACTCACAGCGACCCTCTAGGACAGGGTAGAACTGCCCCAGTGGGTTTCCAAGACGGTGACTCTTCACAGGAGTAGGAGCCTCATCTTCACCCTGTGCAGCTGCTGGTGGTTTTGAACCACTGGCCTTGTGGACCACACGCCCCACACGGTAATGGCAACACCACTAAGGGCAACACCAAAAGGGCTCCTTTCGGGTGAAGTATCAAAACACAAAACTCCAAACCAGTTGACGCGGAGCCTGTTTCAGGGTGGAGCGGCTTCCACGAGCTTTCCAAGGCTTACGTTTCGCATACGTGGATCGCCAGGCCTTTCTGATGAGGCACTGAGTGGGGCGTGAACCTCCCACCTTGTGGCTAGCAGTCCAGCACTGGGCCGTGAGCAGCCCCTAGGGCATGCACGGTGCACCAAGAGCTCTTAAAACATGCTTTGGCCTTGTGGCACGCAGGCAGCCATCTGGTTCCACCACATCTGGGCTCATCCAACATCCCTGCCACATGGTCCAAGTCTGGCCTCAGGGGGTCCCGAGGTTGATGCCACATCTGCTCTGGCCCACCCTCAAGGCTGGCCCCCTGGGTCTG